GAATGGGGTGTGCAAGTCCACCACGCACCGAGTCGTAATGCAGACGGGGTCGGCAGAGAGGTTTAGCGTGCCGTTTTTCCAGGGGGTGAGGAGGGATTTGACGAAAGATGAGGCGGTGGGGAGGTTGAGGGACCAGTTTTTGGAGGTTGGTTTGTTGGGCGGCGGTGGTAGTAGTAGTAGTGGTGAGGAGTCTGAGGAAGAGAGGAAGATTGATTCGCCGTTTTTGAAGGGGAAGTATGATACGTAGGGTGAGTCGCAGTTGAGGACGAAGGTGAGGAGTCATCAGGATGTTGGGAGGAGCTTTTACGGGGAGGTTTTTGAGATGTACGTTAATGACGATTGAGGGAGTTGGTGTAGAAACTGGATACAAGTATATGAGTATACAAATTCCATTAATTTATGTCATAATGTCTAAATACTATCAAATTCTTATTTCCTCCTCAACTTTATATAGCAGAAAATAAACCCTTAGCGATTAGAGAGTACGCTATTTCTGGAAAACAGTGCATTGAAAATAAATAAATAAAATTAAAGACTCCAAATAACATTTCCCCTAGCCTAGTCAAACGGGCAGCCCCTCGAACCTTCCAAGCGTAAGGGGATTGCTTTTTCTTGCTTTCTTTTCCTTTCCTTTTCTTTTTTTCCCCTTTTGTTTTCCCCCACGGACCGTGAAAGCTGGTTACAATGATCCTCGGCAAGCCGAGCAAGGGATCACCATACATATGATACATGTACAGTACAAACATATGCAGACCGCCCGGTTATAAAACATGGTTATTATTGCTTTATTAATTTTTAATTTATTTTTTAGATCGCGGGAGATAATATTTTGTATCTCATATTGACGCCGAAGGGTTATTGTTTGCTTCGGGCCCTTTGCTGTTGTTTCGGGGCCGAGATGGAAAGTGCACGGGCCGCATCTTGCTGGACGGCCCCTGAAGAGAGCGGTTCAGAGGATGAGGATGGAGGAATTCAGACAAGTTATATAATAGAAATTTGTGTATAAAAGAGTACTCAGACTTAGAAACATGGAAAAAATGAAATCGAATTTCCACATGTACTGTTACTTGTTTCTGCGTTTTTATATAGAAACCTTGCTTCTCCTATAACAACGATGGCGGCACCTACTAGGCAAAGCTCGCTCATTGACCCAGAGACGAAGCCGGTGTAGGAGGAAGTATCTGGATCCCCTCAGAATGGAGACGAGACGGAATATCCATCGACAAAAAACAGCCCTGGTGATAATGGGTGCGGTTTATTTGGTCTTTTTCATAGTTGCTCTCGTAAGTTTGAACGTAGAGGAAACTCAACCTACCCAGTTACCACCAGTATTTACCTTCCCAACAACAACAGGAAAGCTAATATCAAAGCATTTCAAGAATCGAACAATTATCGCAACCGCTATCCCCCGAATCTCCGACGACTTAAAAGCCCTCGAAGACATCGGCTGGTACGGCAGCGTCTACTTCATCAACAACTGCTCCACCCAGCTCATCTTCGGCAAGATCTACACCCTCTACTCGCCTAAATGGGTCTTCATCTTCGCCATCGTCCTGTTTGAAATCGGCTCTGCGGTTTGCGATGCCGCTCCAAATTCCATCGCCTTCATATTCGGCAGAGCTATTGCGGGAATGGGGTCGTCCGCTATCTTCGCGGGTGCTGTTGTTATCATACTCCATACCATACCGCTCCCCAAACGGCCAATGTATCTGGGGTTTCTAGGGTCTACCTTTGGGCTCGCCTCCGTCGTGGCCCCGCTGCTAGGCGGGGTGTTTACGGATAAGGTTTCATGGAGATGGTGTTTCTATATCAACCTTCCCATTGGAGCGGTGACGTTAGCGATCGTGATCTTCGTTCTGAAGATGCCAAAGACAAAGAGTGGTACAGATCTTGCTAGTGCGTTCTTCAAGAAGAAGATGTTGCATCTTGATCCCTTCGGAATGCTTTGTTTTTTTCCAGGCATGCTTTGTCTGTTGCTGGCGTTGCAGTGGGATGGAAGAACATATGGGTGGAATTCAGCCCGGATAATCGTCTTGCTCGCGGTGTTTGTATTGCTGCTGCTGGGGTTTGTGGGCCTTCAGGTATGGAATAAGGAGTACGCGAATGTGCCAGGACGGATAGCCGCGCAGAGAAGTATGGTCGCTGGCGTTTACTACACAATCTGCACTGGCGGACACATGCTGGTAGTGCTGTATTACCTACCCATCTGGTTCCAGGCAATTAAGGGCGTGAGCGCCGTCAATTCTGGAATCAATATCCTTCCCACCATGTTATCTGTCGTCGTCGGTGGCATTGCGGCTGGCACGCTGGTCAGCAAAATAGGATATTACACTCCATTCATGATCCTCAGCACAGTTTTCTCCTCCGTAGGCACTGGCCTAATGATTACCTTTACGAAGGAGACGGGCCATGCGAAATGGATCGGATACCAGGTTTTGTATGGCTTTGGGCTCGGCACGGGTATGCAGCACGGACACATGGCGGCTCAGACTGTGCTGCCAAAGAAAGATGTACCAATTGGTGCGGCGCTCATGTTGTTCGCACAATCACTTGGAGGAGCCATATTTATTGCCGTTGGCCAAAATGTTTTTACAAACGGACTTGCGAGTCGACTGGCGACTATACCTGGCATCGATGTATCAACTCTCGTAGATGGCGGGGCAACAACACTTCGAGACCACATCAAGAGCCCGAAAATCCTTGATCGGGTGCTCAGTGAATACAATGATGCCCTTCTTGAAGCGTTTCATGTGGCATTCGCGCTAGCATGTCTAAGCTTACTCGGGGGGCTGGCCATGGAGTGGAGAAACGTCAAGCGCCAGAAGAAGGATTGAACTGTACTGTACTCCGTAAACAGTGTGTAGTTAGTATGTCAGACATGGGTTGTAGGTCCGGAGCAGGCAATAGGCATAATTTGCACTGGTGGGAAATATGAAAACATATACGATTGTATTTTTAATCAATATCGATACATTCATTAGGAGGTTGAGTTAAGCAGTTCGATCAAGCTTTGTTGGTACCACGGATCAATTCGGGATCTACCATATTTATAATCTGTACGGAGTACGGAGTAGACTTATCTATGTTTACATTGGCTTGGCACCGGATCCGGACTTACTACGAAGTTATCGTCGAGCATTTTTTATTATTCCAGCTTGGATTCCTTGAAACATCCTGTGCCAGGAGTAGCAATAAAGGCTGCTGTGTTTGGTTACACGTATTTGTTGACGCCAATTTTCTTGCTCAATAATTGACCGGCTTCGCTGGTAGCACGTTGGAACAGGGCCTGCACGAGAGCGACATTCACAAGGATATCGTTGATACATGAATACACCCAGGAGAAAGGAGCTTGAATACTCTTACTATTACTTTTATTTATACCCCATTATACGTGTTTGCTAGCTTGATATATTTTCCGGGCTTCACACTAAGCAATGACCCATCATGTCTTCAAAAAGCACAGCCGGTCCCACACATCTTGGCTCTTCAATGCCATATTCCTGCGTTCTCTGCTATCAAAGAAAAGTGAAATGTGATAACATGACCCTTGCTCTGCCTGTGTAAATGCAGGAGCTTCTTGCATTTTTCGCGCCCCGCCAGCCCCCAGGCGACGGAAAAAAACTTCACCGGAATCTGCTCTACTCTCTCGGTTGAAAAGATATGAAGAAATATTGCGCAGCCATGGCATCAACTTTGATAGAGCTGAAGATGGGACCCAGGAGTCTCCTAAACCTTTCTCATCGGGTCCGGCTGCCGACGGGTTTGATGGGGCAAGCAACATGCCCGTTTGGACGAAGAGTAATATGGATCAGGCCAGGGAAACCGGCGAGTTACTTACGGCTGAAGGGAAATCTAAATACTTCACTGGGTTTGTTCTGGATCCTCTTTATCCTGTGCATGAAATGGGGAGTGGGGAGCTGATTTGATAAATACAATAGTACTTTATGGATGAGTCTGAGTGATGAGGTTTGTCTTCTTCCGTGCGAACTGCCAATCCTAGAGTTCGCAACTCTGATAGCACATACTCTACCGCCAGCTTCGAAACACCAAAGAGCTCTTTGATACCAGTGTTCCTCGGATGAGGAGCAAACCGACACCCGGAGCGGGGGAGCATCACTTCTGACACTCTAGACGACACCTCTTTATCCTCAGCTCCGGCAACCTCTAGCCAGCCGTTGACTGCCTTACATCCACACCAGGTTCACATTTTTAAGGCTATGGCAGATATTCTAGACAGGCGTCAATCCGCTCGTTAAGATATTTCATGCACCGACGGTACAGCAAGAAATTCTAGACGGAGCGGCAGATTGGAAAATGTCTCTAAACTACAAAGGCGCTCATGTTGGCCATCTATGCTTGGCTCAATTACTTCCATGGA